GGCGTCTAGAAAGCTAGCACTAGCTTAACTAGACAAAGGCCGAAGCACCATAGTCACGCAATACAGCACAACGTACCAAATTGTAACTAGTTAGATAGAACGGCCTTTGGCCAAAGTCCTACATAGCCAACGGCTGATACAGGACTATAATGGAATAATAATAATAGGTCCTATTCTCTTTAGACGCCGTAAGTCAAACCCGGCTGTGACAGTGTAGAAAATAGATCGCCACTGAAGTCTAGAAGGTAGTATTGGGTAAGATGCTGGGATAATTGCTCTCCGCGCACAATAGCGCCATCGGCATCTTATAGTCGCTCGTCGTTGGCGCATACGTCTCTTAGCGCAAGATGGGCTTGTACAAATACTTGATTGCTTGCATACAGAGTTGCGGATCTGCATAGTTGCGGACTTGTCACGGACTTGTGAACTTGCGGCATTTTACATCTACGTACACATCATGCAAAATAATAGCACAATTTAGCCAGCAGGCCGCTTCCGTAGCTTAGTAAGAGTTTAGTGGGGTGTGAGAAAGCCATTGTACTTAAGCCTTTCTTAAGGAGTTCTATTGTATACCAGCTCACAGTCATGCTGGAAAAGGTAAGCCTTTTCTTATAAATGGTCTTATTAGGTCCACACATGTTGAGTCTTGGGTTCGGTACACACCACAAAATCTACTCCCGGTACAATGCTAGCAGAGCGAATGATCTATCATCAGTCAGATCTGTCTGCAGCACACCACAGTCTCGGTCTCAGTCTGCAGAGTGGCTCATCTTTGCTCACTCCCAGCTATGGTTCCTCTATATCCAACCCAACCACACAAGAAGATGCATGGAGTTTGTTCAATCCTCGAAGCGCTGAAAATAGACGGGCACGCGGTGTATCACGCCGATTCAATGTTGAATCGCCGCGCTATCCTCGCAGTGAACTTCATGACAAAGGTGTTGTGCCTTCTGATGAAGGCTACTTCTCAGTCGAAACAAGCCAATGGGCACTTGTTAACGAGGCTGACTACTCGAGCCAAGGTTTGCCATTAGAATTCTACAGCCGAATTGAAAACATCAATGTCGAATCTATGGTTAGTATTGCTACAGGAGTGTCAACAGTACCCTCGGATCAAAGGTCTCGTGTTAGCAGCACGCGTAGCCGTAAGTATTATTGATGAGGTTCATGCTTCCAACAGCTACTTAATTTCAACATCTAATGCAATCAAACTATCGCTGTATTCGAGACCTTAGAGTTAGTGCTACAGCAACAGTATATGAGGCTGATATACATGCGAAAGTGTGAGTCTGAGGCAGAAGAAGAGACCAAATGATGAGCAGGACGTCTTCCGACCTTTCTGGTTAAGGAACCTCTTGTCGTTTCGTGGATATCGGCATCAATCAAGCCACAGAAATAAAGTCTGGGGTTGAGATAGTTTTGTTTTCAGTAATTTATTTGCGAGAGAAGGATCCAGATTTGAAGTTCAGGGACATAACCGAGAGCGTCAAGAAGGACTGCCTAGAAAATGCGAACAAGCAAATGGTAGAGCGAGGACGTCCTGAGGTGACCCAAGCACTTGTCAACTGGCGCGTCTCAAAGGAGTTAGCCATCTCTAAAAGTCATGGTTTGTGCACACTGTCACCCTTGCATAGCCTCAATCCACGAAGACGTTACGAACGCCACGACACCGTGAGCCAAATGGGGAGCCAGCGCCGTCTGATACGAGGAACCAAGTCCTGGATGACGTTTGCGATATGTCCCGTCCAGACCCAATAATGCCGTAGCATCAGACGTCAGCGCAGCAACCTGGTCGGGATACTCGTTGTTTCGTGCCAGACCGTCAATGGGGGCCTGGGAGTGGGGGAATCGAGAGCCGCAGATGCGGTACTGCATGCCTCTGCGTGCGGCATAAGGCAGTTCGAGATAGTCGTGCTCGTCAGAGTAGCTTCCGTTTCCAGGGTGGCGCGACTGCGACTACGACTGGCGTGCACTCTTGGGGACAGGCACGCCCAGGCCGACGCCTTCGCCCGAGTCGAGGCGGACCTCGTCATTGAAGCTGATGCTCGTCTTGCGCTGCCGAAACCAGGCCAGGTAGTCATCGTCGCTGCCGCTTCCGCTGCTGCCTACGACAAGGGAGCCGACATGGCCGAAGTCGCCCTGCTGGTTGGAGGGGTAGGCGCCATGGGAGGAAGAGTTTGAGTCTTGAGCAGCCTCAAGCTCGGCAGTCAGCTGCGATGGGCCATGGCCTTGGTTGAGCGAGTCTTTCTGGGAGAGGGGCGCTCCAAGACCTCCTCTCCCTCCCAGCTATCCACGATGAGCCTTACGACACGTATTTCGAGGCGTATGAAATGTGTCGAGAGCGTTGCGCCCATCCACACGTTGGGTTCGACGACCCGCTTCCCAATCCAGAGCCGTCTATCCATAAGGGCACACAAGAAGATTCCGATGAAGAAGCGTTGAACGACGTGGACGCTGAATGGGGTGAACTCTCCCAGGAGCTCCCAAATCGCAACGGCGGTAATGTCGACTCATAGGATCTGCTTGGACGCCGCGCAGAGGATAACGTTGATTGGAGCGACCGTGTGGGCAGCTATACCGACCTTCAGGCCGACTGGTGAACGATACAAAAAGTGGATTATCCAGTAGGTACGCGCAACATTGGGTCTGTTACTTCGTACAAGCAGGTCGAGGTCAAGCAAAGGTTGCTTTGGGACACCTTTGTCGACCACTTCAAGGGTGTATCCGACAACGAGCCTCTACGGAGGCAGTTGCTCCTCCACGTTGACGACAAAGCAGATACCACTGTCATCATGTCCATGTGTGCCAAAGTTGAGCGCATTGCTAGCGACCTTGGCATAGCCTCCGTTGTCATTCGGGCAGCTCCTACAGGGGTTGCTGCTTGCAATTTTGGTGGTAGCACTTTACATTCGCTTCTTCGACTGCCAGTAAAGGAAAAGGTATACCAAGCACTGTCGCCCGGTAACCTTCGTACACCGCAAGAAATGTTTCGTTCTCTCCAATATTCCATTATCGACGAAAAGTCCATGGTGCCGTTGCGCAAGTCGACGTGGATTTGAAAACACCTGGGTGAATTCTTTCCCGAGAATAGAGACGAGCACTTTGGTGGAAATTATCCACACTTGAATAACGCACTGTTCTTACACATTAAGCAGTTGTACAAACAAAAGCGAAAAACGTTTCACGACAGTACAACGTCAGTTCCGGTGTTCATGCCGTGGACAAAGTCCTTTAAGGCGACCTTCGTCATGTATCTTGCGACAAACGACAACACGGTAAGGCTGGTATCTGCTGAGCTCGCATACCGTTGTAGTACTAATCGGTTTGCCAATAATCAACATTCGCCAAGCCGCGCGGCTCTACTTACGGGAACAGCATGACCTACGATGCGCTAGAGAAACCACCTCAGGACTAGCCCGACGAAGTCGCGTACGGGGAATACTAAGAGCAGTATCACTAAGAAACGCAATTAACGCATCCGTAAGATCCACACATTGCTGATCAGCTAGCAGGAGCTACCAAGGCCAAAACTGGCTGAATAGCCAAGAGGAAGACAGCCCTTAGACTTTCCCACCCATTTTTTCCTCCCTTTCACCCCTTTTCTGCTTTTCTTTTGCCTCTTGCTGCGATTCTCATCATTCTTAGTCCACATCTTCCATCATGGCATTGACCTCAAGCTCAGTAGCTTTGGCGCACAATATGGCAGCCTTGGTTTTAGCGGGAAACTTAACAGCTTTCGCTTTTGCACCCAATTCAATAATGCGGGTGCCCTGACGCGGATTTCTAGTACGGTACTGGCTGGGAGTTGAGGCGCATGAGGTGCGACCAGAGTGAATTTGACGACCATACCGCTAAGGTGGCTGTGTGCGAAGACACCTACTCTGAGCTTGACCATTATAAGAAGGGGGCCATGGGTACTGAGCGGCGCCGGAGCGAGAGAGCTCAGGGAATGCGGCCAAGGTACCATCGAAGTCATTTCAGGGCTTTGAAGAGCTTTTCTTAGGCTACTACCATCATTCAGTGAGAGCGAGAGAACAGAAGAAAATACACTTACCTTGATTGGACCGACTGGTGAGCTGTCTGTTGGCAGTGTTCAAAATTAGTGGCTACACGATGGGTTATTTCTAAGAAATATCAGCTTCCACATTAGCTATAGTTCTCTAACTGCTACATATATTTCCAACAGCTGACTTGGCAATGTTACCGGTATTCTTTAAGCTGAAATGCTCGGCATGGTGCAACATACGCATTCTTCTGAACCTCTCACGCCTACAATGCGCACATGCGCATGTGCGCCCAAGTCTTATCTAAGAATAAATTGCTCTTATCGTTCGCCGTCTTTAGAGATTAGTACATTTTAGCCATAGGGGCTACCTAGGTTGGTCCTGGCTCTAGCTGGAACAACCAAGGCATACGGTCCATAAGCGTCGAAGCGCCAATCGAATATTCGTCTATGTCTGAGGGAATCACCGTTTCTATCAAAACCTCTTTCGTTGGTGTAACTAGTGCCATTGCCGCTTCAGCTGCCTTGGTTTTTTGTTTGCAATTGAATTTTCCTTGGCCCTTTTCGACTGACGCTGTCCCCTCTCCGTCACGACCAGCGCGCATCTCTCGCACTTGCTCGTCGCTCGCGACTGTTGTCTTTCCCAGGACGACTAATCTAGCCGACCTACGGAGCTGTTTTGCCATTCTCTCGGTAGTGAGAGTGTCTTGTTCGATTTTCCCGTATGAAAATTTAGCACTTTCCGATGTCACTGGCGTAATCGGAGTGGTAGGGGATTGGGGTACACTCATTAGAGGGCAGGGCCCTATGTTGTCGATATCAGATCGTTTGGAAAGGATCTCGGCGTTTTTGGGACAGTGATATCTGGATTTGTATAGTATTCCTCTTTGTTGTTGACTTTCCCCAGGCAGTTTCATGGAGAGAACTCAATCGTTGCTTCCTAACTCGCCCAAAGCCTCCTCCATAAAATCTTTCCGCCTGCCTTGTCGCAATAGGCTATCGTTTAGACCACACCAAACGCCAAAATTTCACGGCTAGGCTTCGTAAAAGGTGTGGGATAGGATTCAGAAGCACTCCTCAAGCCAAAGCATCATATATCAGTACACGGGCTCTCTTCGTAGGTCTGACTAGTGTCTGCAAATTATGGGTTCAAATTGAGTTCATGCGGTGTGTAATACAACAACACACATCACGGTGCTATGTCATCAACTTGACACGATTACAGGCCTCTCGCCGCCATGGGAAGCATTTCAACGTCTCCTTCTCCATATGGTGAAACTGCCAGCATTCACAACCTTGACGATTAGGTACTCCGATACCTACGATGTCGAACATGATGCATAGTAATTAGATATCTAGCTCTTTATCGAATAAAATCTCTTATGTACCTTGCGATTGCTGCCCAGAGCGCAGCCACTTACACTTGCTTCCTGTCCACGGAAACTACTTGGCTTGTTTCTTACAAGTATCAGTAAGCATCTCGCAGTGTACTATAAAGTTTTCTTCGAATAGACAATTAGTGTGTAGAAATTACACGATAAACATTAGTTAAATAGACCTAACAGTGAATAGATTCTAGCTTTCCTAGATCTTCGCCTTATGGTTTCTGTAAGGGACTACTTCCTATGAATAGAACGTATGATTCAATTACGTGTCAATATTACGTAACCTCTTGCCCCAGAGAAAAACTTATAAAAGCAATAACTACAAAAACAAAAGTTATGACAACGATAATCCTATTTTTCATGTTTCTTCTTCTGTACGATAAGTGAATGCATACTTGTTCGACAGGAATCTCCGCCCATGACACCAATGAGGCACAGAACCGTGTCGAGAAAGGCGGTATCCTTCCCCCCTCATTGCTTGTTTCCGGAACGCAGGGTTTTACATGACACAGGGAGTGACTTTAGCTAAGAAGTTCTCTCGACATTTTTCCACACATGCCAGCATCATCATATGGCGGCTTTTAGACAGTGCCACTACCGTGCGCCCTCCTAGGCGACAAGGATTTGAGCAGGACTACGATGGCAAAGAGGGTATCCAAACTGTCGCAGACTACAGCTCTATGTTGGCAAGTCAACTACATGTTCGGGGGATTGAGGAAGCACCGTCTCAACAATGAAAAAAGTAAGAGCTGTACACCGCAGATAAAGGAGCCCATGGCTTGATGCGTGGGAGATGCTCAAGGCTGAGCGATGGAGTGAAGCTGCAGAGATGATGCAGAAGTGAAGCGTGGTTTGGAAATACTGTATGGTCCTTCCTTGTGCACCATGTTGAAGCTGATTACACAAACTAATACCCCATTGATGGTAGATGTGAAACTAGCCTATACAAACCTTGCATCCATCCTTGATAGAAATCACGAGTGTCATTGTTTGTTTTTCCACGCCTACCAGTCCAACTTGCTCTCCCTCAGGGAGCTTGATAGATCCAAAGTGCTGTAACAAACGCACAGTCACATACGTAGCTTCGCTAAGCGCGAAGTCGACTGAAATAAATTGTCAGCGTTATCAAGTTCCAATATCGCTTTCTAGTTCAGAAAACTCACGCCCAAGACAAACTCGAGGGCCTCTGTGGAATGGCAGATAACCCCATCTTGAATTAGTTGGGTTGTTGTTCATTGGCATATCTTCGTCCCATCTCTCAGGTCGGAACAGCTCGGCATCCATTCCGTAGAGATCCGGCCGTCGGTGCATAGAATATACGCTAAATGCCACAGCGCTTCCTTTGGGTATAAGGACTGGTGATTTCCTATCTGGCCCTCCGCCTTTTGGCAGGACTGTAGTTTTCGTTGCAGTGCGTGTATTTACGGGAACGGATGGGTAGAGTCGTAAAGCTGAGTAATTTAGCATTGTGAGGAAACTCACTTTAGCAAATATATCTTTTACTCTCTTTGAGCACATTGTTCAGATATGGCATCCTTCTCAGATTATCTCGGTTCAGCGCAGTGTCTGTCGTGCATAATGAAGCAATTTCTGCACGTAGTTTTTCCATAACTTTTGGGTGGCGTATGAGTAGAAAGCTGTTGCAGCTCAAATATCAGCAGTAGACTATATATAATGCATCGAATAATGACTCACAATGTCCAAGATAGAAGACATGCTGTTGTATCTCTACCAGCAGCTAGGAGGTTGACTATCTGGTCTCTGAGTGCATGTCGATCCGATGTGTTCTTTGCTACAGTATCCAAAAATACGTATCGCTCTGAATCTTTGTTTGCAGTGCGTTCAGAGGAAAGATTACGATCAATGATCTGATCGGCAAACTTGTGGACGTTGTGACAGGCCTGTCGAAATTCTCTTCCGTTAACGAGCCAATAGAGATCCAGGAGTCGAAATCTTTTCATCACCCACCGTTGAGCAGTGTTGAAGGCATTAGCGAATGTATTCTCTTCGATTGCTTCCGGGATGACTAAGCTACGAACCGATTCACCAAACAAGAAAGCAGTAGTCGTGTCGAGCGTTAAGCGAAAGAAAAGAGGTTGCAAGTCGACCGTTCCATTGCTTCCTTGGAGAAGGTTTATCAAATCGTCTACCGTGGGACGAAATACCTCGAGATTCTCATATTTCTGATGTTTCAATTGCGGTCGGAGGATATCGCGAGAGTATTTCCACTCAGCCCCCTCTTGGGTGAAGATGCCATCACCGAACATTGGGAAGGCAATGTCTCGACGAGGGCCCATTCCAAAATCTAGATACCATTAGCAAGACTACATGCTACATATAACTATGCACACCTTTGAAATTGGTCGAAAAGATTGCCTCAAGATTTGCTGGCTCTATCGTGCCGTACGCTCTAGTACCCAGAAACTTCTGTTCAAGCGTATTGCCAGTTTGTCGGAAATGAAAGAGGAAGAGTTCCATCAATCGTGACTCCGCATCTGCACGGAAAATCTGCTCAAGTCGATCGACTCCGAAAGGTCTCTGATTCTGAAGCCTGGGAGCTGGCTGGCAACCATGGCGTTGACTGATAGCTTCATCTTCCTACTCTGCTGTCAGAAGAGCTTCAAGACTGCAACATAGTGAAAATCATACCGCTCGCTTCTTCCGTTCGAACATATACTGAACCACAACTCCAACGGAAATTGTGAACCCAGTAAGAATGAGTATGCTGAGCCTCATCTTTGGCTGGACTGTTCGGGATGTAAGAAAGACCAACTCCACAACATATGAATGAGCCTGGCTGAACTGCAATGTTCGTTGTTGAGTGCGCGTTAGAGTTAGTTGTTGTAACGCATATGATGCTTATAAATATTGGACGTTTACGAAGCCTACGTTGAAAAGGTACTCTAGTAGCATACGAAACAAACATCTCACAAGCTGAACAATAGCTCCTAGCGCAAGCACACGCAAGTGGGTCGCTGAAGCTGGCAAATCTTTCGACTCTTTCGTTTTCTAAACCGATCCTACATATTATGAGACGCAGAACATGGATTTGAGCTGTTGGGCACACCTTGATTGATTGGGTCCTGTTCATTGATAAGCAATCATGTGAATGTGGCACAGTGTGAAGGATTGCGGCACGGCGGCCCAGGTTGAATCCTTCAAACTGCTTACGGGTCCGTGAGACGTTAGCAGTTTGCGGGCGTCCTTAGGATTGTATTGTATAGTGACACCAACCTCGCTGGTCTTGCACGTAATGCCGGTACAACTGTCTTCCCTTCATTGCACAACCATGACATGCTTATGTTTGGGTGCTGTATTGTGGTAAGAAATGGTGGTAAGAAGTGCCAAGATATACTACGGACCACTGTCTATGTTACGCGACTGCGGCGTGGTTAGAAGGATTACGGCGTAACGCACGTCAAAAGACTTAACGGGCCGAAGGCAGCCATTAGGAGCGAAACTGTGGTAGATCTCATAGCACAACGACGTGTTCTGTTATGTAGTGGTTTCTGGCTCACTAGGTTCTTTGCTGCACAGGGATGGGCGTTACGTATTACCTTTTGCACCTATAAGGAACGTACGAAAGTAACTATTCTGCTTATTTGTCGTTGGAGACTGGAACCAGGAAATTTTATGGCGTGCAACCATCTAAGGGCTAGGTGCGGCTTAGAACCTAAGTCGATTTACAATACCGAAGTGATGATCTAGGGCTAAGTTCCATTGAAGGCTACTCTCTACCAATGAAATCGGGAACATGTTTGTCGTAGCGGATTACTTGACGTGTTCCCGTGTATCGCCGACTTAAAGGTCACAATGCGACTCCAAGATTTGTGAACGAAACTGGAAGACGACTACTCCCAATTTTCCGCTAAGAACATAGCTAGTTAGTACACTCGTGTATCTAGGTATGTCGCCTTCTGAGTTGCACATCAAACAAATTTTCCTCTTTTTACTTGGCCAAACTGTTGGATATGCCGTCCAGAAGAATCTAGATAAGACGGACACGCATCTTCGCGCATTGTTTGCATTTCACATTGATGAGTTTGAGGACGCCATCTTTCAGCTAGCCACATTAAGTGGGAGACAGAGCATTCTATCGTATTTCAAGGAAGTATACGCAAAGGGTGTTCGACAACTTGTCCCCAGACAGATCCTTTTGGAATCCCCGCGAACCGCAAGTACCAGCGAAGGTGGAGAAAGTCATGGTCCATGAGAATCAACGACAGATTCTGTCCAAACTTTCGATCGCGGTGGATATGCAGGGAAGAGTCAGACCTTAGCGAGCTGGAGGTGCAAGAGATACTTGATCAGGACGCACATGGGCTGAAGGAATGGCTTATAAGCTGTTCTACTTGAAGACCGAATGATCACATGGCGTCTCAATTTGTCACTATGCAACGTGCATGAAACAGCCTGTGAACGTACATGTATGTAAATGTGTAAGTTGGTACTATAAGACGCAACAATGTTTGACATATAGGAATTAGAACCTTGACGTGGCGAGAAAAGCTACCGTGTACTAGAATCTTGCATGTACAGCTTATCGCGTGTTTGCTGGTAGGCCAACGTTGATCCGCTTAGTAGACTTCGACGATCCCTGCTTGCTGTGTGGCGCAAACTTGACTTTGATTGCGAAAATGGGGAAGCCGATTTCGCCAAGCACTGCAACACGACAAGCGAGCCGCGAAGGCGTTTACTTGATATAAAACTTGGTAATTAGTTCATCTAGTCTGAGAGGCTATTGATAGACGATCTTTCCTCGTAATCACTGTCACACTCTGCGCGCTTCGCTGCTCTCTCCTCTTGCTTAGCGAACATTGCTTCATCGCTTGAAGTGATCTTCTCAGGAGGTGTTGCTGACCTCTTTCGCTTCTTAACCCTAGGGGCAATGGTATGTTTAACAAGTGCATCTGGCAGCTTGAACTTATGCTCTGCAGCGAACAGATATTGGCAGAGCTGCTGGGTAGAAATAATGATTTCCGGCCATTTATCATCCATTACACCCTCTGTAAGCTCTTCACAAGCGAAGTCGGATAGGGAAAGCCGTAGGCCTAGATGATTTGTAGGTTCTCCTTGCTTGTTACGAAACGCCTATACATATGTTAGCAACAACAGGATGGACATGGACGGATTGCGAGCAGGTCGTACTTCATCTGCGACGACCTTAACAACTCGTAGCTCATCTCCATCAGCAGTATGGAAGATCTGTGTTCGCCAAACCGACAATGTTGCCTCGCTCGTCTCGTTCCTATCATACCCAATATCCAGCCCGACAACAACCCGCACGCTTGCGTCCGAGTCCAAAAGATAGGTTTCTGCCAACCGTTCTAGCGCCTCTCGCTTCTGCGAAAACGAGACCTCAACGATGACCCCCGGGTATTGTGCGTCCTCATGCCAGAAAGAGGCATCAGGCTCATGCTTTGACTTGGCGTTGCACAAACTGTTGTCAACTGGGAAGTATATCGCAGTAGATCGAGCTGGCCGTACTTTGTGCGCGAAACCAGCGGCGTTGCCTGGTTGGCCACGTATGGTTTTCAGCCAACAACGGATTGCGTCTTCAACCCCGTCAATGAACAGTTCGTGTATGCCGGTCGGCATCCGAACAACAAGTCGATGACTTTCTGGGTCGTAGTCATAACTGCATACATGCGGTTAGCAGCTGCTCCGACTATATTAAGCGTACATACCGTATCTTGTCCTTTACGAATCCTAGCAACACTTCGTCACGGCTCAGCAGCCGGTCTAGTTCCGCGTATTCTCCTGGTGTCAACTGGAATTCTGTCCACGACTCTTGCTTCGTATGACTTCCAGTCTGCCTGGCTGTGAAAATGGCTGTGAAAAGCGCGACAGCCCGCCGGGCTTGAGCAAAGGGTTTCTTATCGGTCGGCGGAGGCGTCAAAGCTTGTTGTGTAAAACTCGAGGGCGGCGTGACGTGTTGGTTCTGCATTACATGCGATTTTCACATAGCTGTATGCTGTGCTGCATCGTGAGGTAGGTTGATGGTCGTTGCGCTTCAGATTGACAGAGCCCCTAAGACCTGGGCGTTTTGGTTGACTCAGCAACAGCGCCACATGCTCGGAGAGCCAATGATGCTTCTGTGGCTGAGACATTCAGCCACCGCTGTTTCTCTTTAGGCTAAAACAGTTAACTAACTAGTTAAATCGCTCTTTCACGATGGCAACTCTCTATTCGCGCACCTATTGCATTGCGGTGATGCAGGTTTACTGTTGAGCATAATGATGCATCTTTGGCACACATTTAGAGGGACAGGAGTTCGCTCTCATGTTGTGGCTGTACTTCGACCCAGTGTTCCACCAATGATTGTGATTAGCTACTGACAAAGAGTTCCAGAGCTGTGGACAGTCCGACGCGCAGGTTTGTGCGCGTCGCCTTTTGTTGGGGTGCATATAATGGTACTGCGACCATTTGCTCTGCAGCACTGCACGATGTTACATAAATTGCCCTCAGTTCGAGTGTGAGATCTGCGACAAGAGGTTCCAGACTCAGCTAGCTACCAATCAGCATATAGATGCTGTAAACCACCACAAGCAACACCACTAGCTACAATTGTAATCAGTCAATCATTTCAGAATGAGAACGCCTTGAAGTATCATTTCTACCCTCCCTCGTGCACCATTATTACATCCCTTATTAACAGTTACCACATACGCGCCACTAGGGCTCTCCAAGATTCCAGTATAGCCCCATCCTCCAGTTATATTACAGTCGACGACGGTAGCTTTAGCCCTCTGCCTCTACTCGCGGTTTTAGCTAATAGCTTCGGAGCACCTAAATTTTACCCACCTTCTGCGACCTATATTTAGCTTGTGCGCGCCATCTTCCAACGTAGCGCTCTTCCATTCCCAACCACGTTTCTTCATACCCGCAGCAGCACCTTCTGCCTCTAGTACCGCACTTGCGACATTTCTAGCTTCTTTTTAGCCTTTTTCTCTGTCTCCTTGGCGTCCGTCACAGCGCGTTCCGCTCGCTTCTTCTCACGGTCCTCATAGGTCGCCACTCTTACTATGCCTATCACCTTTTAATTGGCTACTCAGCGAGCTTTTCCTTCGTTCGCCACCTGTAGGGAGAACAACAATTGTGTGCGACTTTTCACATACTCGGGCCCAGGGATGGCTCATCGCCACCCACCCTGCGTGTGGGCCCTCGCGTAGCTCGGGCCCCCGAGCTCAACGCGAATACTATGCTCAACGATTATGCACCTTTTAACTCACCTCTACGCCACTGAATATACAGCTTTTTAAGCCAATTAAGATGCCGCGACACGCTAGAGAGCCTACGCGATATGAGAAGTCTTCCAAAGCTATACTTGACGCCGCCGTTGAGCTCCGACAGCTCCGCAAGCCCAACGTCCGCGAGTACGCGCGCCTACGCAACTTACC